GTCTGTCTGTCTGTCTGTCTGTCTGTCTGTCTGTCTCTCTCTCTCTCTCTCTCTCTCTCTCTCTCTCTCTCTCTTCTCTTACACGCACACGCGCGCGCACACGTACATGCACACGCACACATTAATTACGCCCACAGTAATTATGTGTGCATACTGCAAGAAGTCCATTGTGACTTTACGCCAACACACTTACAGTATAATTTCATCCGAGTAAAAGGACTCCCGTTGGGGTGTACTTTTTCTCTGAGACGAACTTAAGACGGCGTACGTGTGTCTTTCCAAATATACCGTTTTCCAAAAAAATTAAATTAAATCAAATAAGCATACAGTATACAGAATAACCCGGACAAGACACAACTGAAAGAGTTTGTAGAGTACTTGTCCGTGAGTGAAGCTGCCTGAAAAGTGCACAAAGGTGGAATAGCATCATTACACGGTATATTGATTGTATTATTATTATCCTGGTGGAGCGAAGCCGTTTGGGCCTAAGGTCTACCAGAGAGAAGCCGTGTAGGATGTGATTTCAACTTTGAACGTGAAAGAGGACCTCTTATACATACGTGCGCACGCACGCACGCACGCACGCACATACACATATACACACAAATACACACACAGACAGACATACAGGCACACTCACGCATCACTCACTCTCATACCGCACTCGAAGGTTCATCTCTGTCTAAAACTCAAACACTCTGAAATACGAAAGAAATATGTTCCTCTTATCACACCCTCTCATCCTGCGTTAATCCCTTCTCACACACTTTACCCACACCCACTCCCTTTGTTTCTTTCTGCTGTAATGTTTATATCAGTTAACATTTTCCCTTTTCATTGATATCATCGGAGGATTGCCTTTGTTTGTTTCGTTTTGTGTTGAGCTCCTTTTTTCAGTTCCTCAGTTGTCAATCTGTTATGACATAAAAGAGGTCGTCCTGCAGTTTTGCCCAGGAAAGCAGGCATTCTTACGGCATGGCCAGCTCAGCAAAGTTGAATCCATTTGAGCTTAGGAAACAGACTCTCCGCATTTGCTCATTTTAGAAGACGTGACTTTGATTTTCTTGTTTGCCTGTGTGTGGGGTGTGTGTGTGTGTGTGTGTGT